TGGAGTTGTTTCTAGCATTGGTGGTAGGGCTGAACCCTCTGAGCTGGCTGCCGACGGGCAGGTGGTCGAGGCCCAGCTCAGAGGCGATCCGCCCTGCGGGTCCTCCGACGGGAGGTCAGCCCCCGCAGGGGAGTGCAGAGGAGGCCCTACCACCCAGGGACGACGAGTACGCGACAGCGGTGGAGCTGAACTTCCTGGCCTAGCTGCCGATGGGCAGGTGGTCGAGGCCAAGGCAGGAGGAGTTTCGCCCAGTGGGGCCTCCGACGGGAGGTCAGCTCCTGCTGGGGAGCGCAGGGGAGGCACCACTGCACAAAGACTACGAGAGCGGTCAGATGGTACTGGGGAGCTTGATGCGGATGGTGCAAGGACGACGCAATTGCGGCATGAGAGAGGCTGGAGTTTCGTCACGGTGAATATAACTGCGGCGCAGAAAGAAGCGGTCAAGATGGCCCTTGTAGCGACAGAGATCACGGAGATGTTTCCCAACACTGATGGCATTCTGCTTCAGGAGCACAAGATTCTCAAAGGAAATACAGGAGACGCACAGCTACGTCTATTGCATCAAGGTTGGAATTGCCACATACCGCCTGTTCACAAAGGTGAAGGACATGCCGCCAGCTCTGGAGTTGCGGTTGGAATCAGACAAGATATTGCGTCGGCGGTGCCGCCCGATTTTGGGGGAGCATACGCACCGCAGTGGAGATGGGCTATGCAATGGGCTGATGGTATGCTGCCAGGTGGTTTCACTCTTGCGTCCATATATTTGATATCAGGGCGCAAGGTGCGCGATTACGAAGATGAGAACAAACGGATCATCATGCTGGTGATGGAGCAGCTACAGAGGCTTGGCAGGCCGTTCATCATAGGTGGAGACTGGAACATGACTCCTCAAGAGCCCTCCGGCCTTAACATTCTTGCGCAGGTGCCAGCGATGATAGCAGCTCCTACGCAATGGACATGTGCATGTGGAGAAGGACGTGTGCTTGACTACTTTGTGGTTGGCCAGCATTTCAAAGGGCTCATTATGGATGTGTCCAGGATTGAGGGGCTGTCGATAGCCACGCATTGGGGTGTCCGACTCTCTCTTCGTGTGGGCCCAGGTGCTGCGCTTGTACAACAGCTCAAGGTTCCAAAGAAGTTACCCAAGGTATGCCCGCTAGGTGCAGCACCCCCGCCGCCATCATATCAGCAAGTTCAGCGAGAATGTGAATATGCGAAAGATCGGGAAGACCTACATTGGTGCTTCTCGCAATGGCATGCTTTGGCTGACCAAGAACTTGTTCGGCGCTTTCAACTAGAGGATCGACATGGGCGAGCTTGCAGGGGAAGGGCACAGTTCACTGAGCCCGAATTCAAGATGGTGGCTGTGGTCCGCAAAGCGCCAGGTCACTCACCGCCAGGAGATCCAAGGTCCAGACAGTGGAGGCGTGCTTCAATGGTCATGGTTGATCTCATGCATGCACGCAAACGGAGTTGGCCCACGGACTGCAAATTCATTCAAGACAGGTTCAACACCATGCAGAACCTCAAGAGCAAGGGGCTAGACATGGGCGAGGCTTGGGATATATGGTGTTACAGGTATGATTACGAATTCAGTTGGGATGATGGGTGGTTGCGAGAAGCGAGCTGGACTGCGGCGAAGGAAGCTACTACTCTGGAGATAAAGTTTGCCAATAACCGTGTTAAGCAGTGGCGCAAGTTGATTGCGGATGTCATTGAGAACGGCGGCAAGCAGGCCCACAGATGGTCTAAGCTACCCGCCATGTGGACACAGGCTGACATACATCCCACGCAAGGTGTGAGGTCTCATGCCCTGCGCTAACAGTCAGACTTGGAAGAGTGGAAGCAGGTTTGGAGATATCAACAGGGAGAGCGAAGTTTTGGAGAGGGGTTACGATTACAGGCACATGCGGAGGAGGTTAAGATGTTAGATACTGCGATCATCAGGAAAGTGGCCACTTCATTTAAGGCGAACACGGCGTCAGGTATTGACAACCTAGGCCCGAGGAATGTCGCCTTGCTTTCAGACAGCGCGCTCACAGCCTTCGCACAGCTCATGCACAAGGCCGAGACCATAGGGGAGTTGCCACCGCAGCTCACCTACAACATCATGCCACGACTACCAAAACCTGAGGGCGGACATAGGCTCATTGGGCTGCTACCTGACCTTCTTCGCGTATACAACAAGTGCCACAAAGCCGACCAGCAAGAATGGCTCGCTAAGAATGTCAATGACTACCACTATGCTGTTGCAGGGCGTAGTTCCGAGCAGGCGGTATGGTCGCAATCACTTCTGGCTGAAGCTGGGCTAACTCTCAAAAGGCACACAGCTACTGGCATGCTTGATCTCAAGAAAGCTTTTGAAAAGATTCCCCATGCGACCCTATGGGACGTTGGCTGCCGACATGGTTTCAAGAGGTCAAGATTGGCGCTGCTACTCAAGTCGTACGCTGATGGGCGCATGATCAAGTATGGCAACATGGTGTCAGGGGCAGTCAAGACAAATCACGGAGTCATAGCGGGATGTGGGTTCGCGACTACGATGATGATGCGTTTCACTCTGGGTGCTTACGAACAGGCATACAAGTTGTGGCCTTCGCTCAGTCTAACGCAAGTGGTGGATGATGGGAGCTTGCAAGCTACGGGTACCCACGAACAAGTTCTCAAGATCATCATACCAGCCGCCCGTATGCTGTGTAAGGAGTTGGTGAAGCTGGGGCGTGAACTCAGCCCGAGCAAAAGGGCACGTAATAGCGACCAGCATGGGGTTAGAGAAGCAGATCGAGGCGGCGCTGAAGCAGCATAAATTTCGGAGGCACCGCAAAGTGCGCCAGCTCGGTCATGATCGGACCCTACGACAAGGATCAGGAGGAGAAGTACAGCATGCTCGGGTGCTCGCCACATCACAAAGAATTTCTCGTTACAGACGGTTGGCGATGGGTGGACGGCAGATGGGACGCCTTTTCAGAGGAGGCTTGGCTTCAGTTACCTACACGGTCAAGGTAAAAGGCATGTCAGATACACAATTAACAAGTTAGGGGCATAGCTGGTCATGCCTTGTTTGGTCCAGCAAGTGGTAGATGCAGAACCATGGAGTTTCAACTTTCGCACTGCCCCCGAGCTGATCCTACCTTTGCGGCGGATGAGTATCCTGTGGTGTATTGGCTCAGAGCGTTGCACGGACAGTGGGTAAAGCAACGAGCGATGGCCTTGGCCTTTATGCAGGCGCAGAACAACTGTCGTACCTGGAGGAGTGTATGAGGGCCAGCAGGTGCAGTGGTGCTCACCCTCAAGAGGCTTGGATGGAAGGCTATGGCGTGGGACTGTTGGCTTACCGAGCGAGGGATGAAGTTAGATTTACACGACATTGGCTCTGCGACGCTCAAAAAGATAGTAAATCAGAGTACACAAAGACGCCTGCTACGTGAGGTACCACTTTCCAGAAGTATGGAAGGGCTCACTGGCCCGCCATCGCTTGAACCTGCCAAGCGTTTAATCACCCAGCTCAGGGCACAGCAGGATTACAAAGGTGCTGGGCTAGTACGTACTTGGTTGGCTGGAGGTTTCTTCTGTCAGGATCGTTTGCACCAAGTTCGAGCAGTGCATAGCCCCTTGTGTGCAAAGTGCAGTGTGGAGAATGGTACGGATACTCATCGTATTTTTCGGTGTGACTGGCATTCTCTGGAGCGACTCAGTTGGACAGGTGAAGAACGTGCATTGCTACGCTGGGGACGTCAAGAACATGGGCAGCGGCATCCACACACTATGATGACGACAAAAGGCTTGATGGAGGACCCAACGTTCAATTCGCCGATGCCGACCAGCGAGCACATTATCAACTGGCACAAGTGCACTGTTAGTGGGCTCCTCAGTGGTGTTGCGTGCACTGATGGCAGCTGTATTTTTCCACACTGTGAAGTTCGAGCACGAGCTGGATGGTCCTTTGTCATGATTGATGAGGCTGGTGAAACTGTGGCGGCGGCTTCGGGACCAGTACCGTATCCGTGGCAGACATCAGGAGCTGGTGAGATCTGGGCGGCGACACAGGCTTTGCAGCACAAGCCGGCAGGGCGCATTACGATTGTCACCGACTACAAAGATCTCAAGATTGGGTGGATGCTGGGGTTCCCATATGGGTGCCAAACTGGACGTCAGTATATGGAGCTGTGGAAGAGATTTTGGAGAATTGCACAAGACATCGGAGTTGAAGAGATTGAACTCGAGTGGATTCCTGCGCACATGTCGAGGAGTAAAGCCATTGATCAAGGAATCAATATGACGTACTGGTATGGTAACAGGAGCGCCGACTACTATGCGAGAATGGGGGCAGACGTGCACCCACGCGAGAAGCCCAGTGAGAAGGTCAGGAAGCTGCGGGAGGCCGCGGTCCCGCTCACCTTGAGATGTGTGTTGCGCATTTTGCGCCTGTGTCAGAAAGGAGGGTGGAGTGATGCGAAGGTGATTGAGAGCAGCAGAGTAGAGCGCAGTTCTTTTCTAGTCCTCTCTGAAGATGGAGGACACGTGATTCATAGGTTTAGGGGACGATGGGTGTGCGGTAGGTGCGGAGATAGCCGTGCTCGGCGGTGTGACCTTGCGGGGCTCCCCTGTGGTGGTGACCCGAAAGGGGTCAGAGAAGCGCACCCGTCCCACAAGCTTTGGCGCACAGGCCCAATGATCTGGTGTTCAGAATGTGCTTCGAGGTGCGTCTCGAGGGCTTTTTTGATTTCAAAACCGTGTCTCGGTCGGCCGCCCTTGGGTTCTCCGAGGCACTTCAAGAGGAGGTACCTCATCCAAGGGAAAGGGCCCTCTGGAGAGAAGGTTGGTTGTGGCTTCACTCGGCCCGTTCCAATCTTCGCGAGCGTCGATCGCTGCGTTCGGCGTGTTTGAGTCTCTTTGTGTGGCTTGGTGCATCGTTCTCGGCACACCTCGTCGTCATCCAGAGTCTCCAGAGCCTCCTCCTCCTCCTCCTCCTCGTCCTCCCCTCCTCCTCCCAGTGGAGCCTCGGGGCCCTCGTGCAGGGCCTGCTCCAAGTACTCGTCGGCGGTGAGCGCGGCTCCGTGCTGGTCGGCGAGCTCCAGGTAGAAATCGCGGAGCACCCACAGCAAGGAGGGCCAGCTTGCCTCGGGATGAGAAAATTGACGAGGGGGGGCCCAGCATCGAATCGATAAATCGAATTGGATCGGCCCGAAGATCGAATCAGCAGAAGCCAGCAGAAGGCGACAGCCAAATCAAAATCGACAGAAGTCGGCAGGGCCGAGTCGGATCGACTCGGGAGCCGGATCGAGGCAAGCCGGATCGGAATCGAAATCGGAAGGCTGGGACGGGAAAGGAGGAAGTGGGGAAGGTGATTGGCCGTCCCATCCGCCCCTCCTTCTCCCGACTATTGTCGTCGCGCGTCGTCGAAAACGTGGTCGTATGTCGTCGTGCGCGCGTCGTCGCGTACGGGGGCCGCGCGTCGTCGAACACAGGCCTTGGGGCCCCCCTCTGGCCCCAAGAGGCTCCCTCCGACCCTCCACGGACCCAAAGAGTCGGGCACGTGAGCAGTCACCCCTGGACCCTGGACTCTGGAAGGACCCCCGTGGACCCTGGAGGCCCTCCAAGCCCCCGGCCCCTCCATGGACCCCCCCCCTCTGGACTGGAGCACCCCATCTGGAGCGTGGCACACATCCCCCGGGACTGTGGCAATCCCCCCTGGACTATGGCACACACCCCCGCCAGACCCCCCCCTTGAGCGTGGCACATCCTCCCTGAACTGTGGCACAGGCCCCCCCCTGGACTGTGGCACAGACCCCTTCCCTGAACTGTGACACAGTCCCCCCCGCTGGACTGTGGCACAGACCCCCCCTTGGACTGTGGCACAGACCCCCCCTCTTGGACTGTGGCACAGACCCCCCCGTGGACTGCGGCACAATCCCCCCCTGGAGCGTGGCACAGTTCCCCACCTGGACTGTGAAACAAACCCCCCTGGACTGTGGCACCCCCTCTGGAGCGTGGCACAGGAGCCCCCCTGGACTGTGGCACAGATCCCTCCTCTGGATTGTGGCACAGACACGCCCCTGGACAGTGGCGAGGGCCCCCCCTGGACTGTAAACAGCCCCCCCTGGACTGTGGCACACCCACCCCTGGACTATGGCACAGACCCCCCCTATGGACTGCGGCACAGGCCCAACCCTGGACTGTGGTACAGCCCCCCTTTGAATTGTGGCACAAACTCCCCCGTTGGACTGTGGCACAGACCCCCCCCTGGACTGTGGCACAGCCCCCCCCTGGACTCTGGCACAAACCCCTCTCTGAAATGTGGACAGACCCCCCTCTGGAGCGCGACCCAGAGCCACCCCCCCTGGAGCGTGGCACAGCCCCCCCCCCTGGACTGTGAAACAACCCCCCCCCTGGACTGTAGCGCAGACCCCGCCCTGGTGGACTGCGGCACAGACCCCCCGCTGGAGCGTGGCGCAGACCCCCCTGGACTGTGGCGCAGCACCCCTCTGGACTGCGGCACAGTCTCCCTTGGACTGGCACGGACCTGGGACGGACCCCCCCTGGAGCGCGGGGCGGGGTCCTGGACCCTGGCAGCCCCAGGGTGCGTTTGGGCAAGAAATTCGAGGCGGTCCTAGCCGTGGCGAGGAAGGCGCCCGTCCGTGGCCCCAGGACCCCCCATCACGCGCTTCAGGGCGGCCCCCCCTAGTCCCTCCTCGGGCACTCCCCAGCGAGGGCGGCGAGGCACCTGCTGCAGGTAGGCGTCGGCGCGCCGCGGGGGGTTCGCCGTCGTCGTCGTCGTCGCCGCCGTCGTCGTCGTCGCCGTCGTCGGCGTCGTCGTCGTCGTCGTCGTCGATTCCTCCCCCCTCTCCTGCATACAGGCACATGCATACACCCATACATACATACATATATACGTGCGTGCGTGCGTACGTACATACAGACACAACGAATCCATACATACATACATACATACATACATACATACATACATACATACATACATACATGCATACATACATACATACAGACATACAGACACGTACATACATACATGCATACATACATGCATACATACATACATGCATGGATACATCCATACAGCCATACGTCCATGCATCCATACATCCATACATCCATACATACATACATCCATACAGACATACATACATACACACATACATACATACACACATACACGCATGCACACATACTTACATACATACATACATACATACATACATACATACATGCATATATACATAAATACATACATACATACATACATACATACATACATACATACACACATACACATACATACATACATACATACATACACACATATGCATACCTACAGACGAACACACAGACATGCACCCATACGTACATATATAAAGTACATACATACATGCATACATACATACATACATACGTGCGCACGTACACGCATACATACATATTTACACATGCGTACACTCGTACACAGATCAATACGTACATGCATGCATACGTACACACACCTACAGACGGACAGACAGACATACACACATACTGACATATATACGTACATACATATATACATACATAAGCACGTACATACATACATACATGGTTACATGCATGCATACATGCATACATACATACACACATACATGTGTACATACATACATGAACACATGCATACATACTCACATACATACATACATTCATACAATCAAGCATGCAAGCGCACATGCATGCATACATACATGCATGCACTCATGCATACGTGCATATACATATACATATGCATGCATACATATACACATACATACATACATACAAACGTAAACACAGACACACATAAATGCATGCATACATAGAGACGTCCATACATACATACGTATATGCATGAACCAATGCATGCAAACATGCATACATTGATACGTACGTACATACCTACATGCATACATCCGGGCACACATACACACATGAATGCATACATGCATGTACGCGTGCATGCATGTATGCACACCTACGTACACACATGTATGCATGCATGCATGCATGCATGCATGCATACATACATACATGCACACATGCATACAGACATACACACATCCACTTCCACATGCATACATATATGCATCTATACGTGCATGTATACATGCAGACATGCATACATACAAACATACACACATGTATACATGCATACAATCATACATTCATACATACGAACATGCATAAATGCATGCATACATACAGACAGGCTTACATACGCACATGCATACATACATACTTACGTACATTCAAGCATACACACCGGAATACATACATACTTGCATGCATGCACGCATGCGTACATTCAGGCATACACACATACACACATGTAAACATCCATGCACACATTCATGCATACACGCGTACATACATACATGCATGCATGCATGCATATGTACAAGCATATATACATAAACCCATGCACTGATACATCCATACATGCATATATACATACATGCAGGCATGTATGCACACAACCGTTCATACATACGTACGTACGTTCGTACGTACATGCATTCATGCAGACACTAATACCTACCTGCCTACCTACATACATACATGCATGCATACATACACACACGTATAACTGGCAGACCTTCAGCCCGTAGTTAAGTGCACAAAAGCTCATGCAGTCCGGCGTCGTACAGGGACTCACGATTCGTACAGGACGGTCCTAGACGTCTCCAGGACAGCCGAGATGGTCCCAGAAGAGCCCAAGATGGCCCCAGCGTGCCTCCAAGGCGGCCCAAGATCAACCCACGACGGCCCAAGATGGCCTCAAGATGGCAAAAGAGGCCGCTGAGACGCTCCAAGAGGGCTCCAAGGGGACCTCCAGGAGGCCAGCACAGCTTGTGTTCCTCAAGTTTTTTCCGTCGTTGTCGAGCTCTCGCCTCGTCGTGCTCCCGACAGTCGAAGGCCCAAGACGGCCCAAGAGGTCCCCAAGACGGCCCGAGAGCGCTCCAAGAGGGCCTCAAGATGGCCCGGCGAGGCTCCGAAGACGGCCTCCGAGGACCAGGCGGCCCCCAAGGGCCTCCAAGAGTCTCCCAAAAGGGCATCCAGGAGGCCCCCAGAAGGCCCCCAGGATGCCCCCAGGGGACCCCAAGAGGCCCCCGAGAGGCCTCCAACAAGTCTCCGGGAGCCCCCCCAAGAGAGGCCGCCAGAGGCCCCCAAGAGAGGCCCCCAAGAGGCCCCCAATAAGCCGAAATTTCTTGTTCCTGTTTCTTGTCCCTTTCCCCCTCTTCCTCCTCCTCCTCCTCCTCCTCCTCCTCCTCCTCCTCCTTCCTCCTCCCTGTTCTCTTCCTCTCCCTTCCTTCCTCCCACAAGTGTAGCCCCAAGAGTTTCCACAACGGCTGGGGGGACAAGTGGCCCGATAGGCAAGACTTCGGCCAAACGCTTGGCCACGTAGGCGATTCCAACAGGCAGGGGGCGACGGTGGTTCGCCGTAGTCGCATGCGATCTGTACGCGCACGTTATGAGTAAGTGTGTGCTAATGTACAGATATACCCTGACACCAGCCCTCAGGGCGCAGGTGGTATAATGACTATGTCCTTCCTTCTTCCGAAGCCCGTTCTTCATCTAGTTGGGGAGAGGAGTTCCCCCAACCCTTCCCCCTCCCCTGGATCTGGCCCGAAGGGGGAGGACCGAGGTGGTCGCAAATCCTCGCTTCCCCCATGTCCCCCCTCCCAAACCCCTCCCTCCCCCCCTCCTCCACCCCATACAACTCCCCCTCTCCCTGCTTCGCCCCCCTGCCCCCGCTCCCCCCCGCCCCTTCACCCATTCTCTACCCCCACCCCCCTCCAAAGCAGCTCAGGACCCGAGATAGTTCCGAGATGCTCCTGATAGCTCAAGATGGCCTTCAAGATACCTCAAGATCTCGAGATCGCCGAAGATTGTTCACGACAATTCCCGACATCCTTCCAAGAGGCCCCACCACGGCTCCCCGCGCCCCCGATAATCCCAAAGAGCCCCAAGGGGAAAGCATTACTACACTTCCCTGACCAATACAACTTGCCCAAGAAACGTTGCTCGATGGACTGGTGGGAATACCCTTTTTGGTCGGCGGCCGCGCGACCACGGTCAGGCGGCATCAGCGATGTCCGGGACTACGGATCAAGGCAAATTACACGCGATGCGTGAGGTGCACATGCACTGAGCAAAATGCTCCGCATTCGAGAGGCAGACGCACATAGGCGCAGGCCACACCGAAGTGAACAAGCGGCCAGCAGTGCGAGTGCAACGGAGGAAGTCGCCCGGGCGGCGCCAAACTCCGAGCAGCTCCCCAAGCCGACAGCAGGCAGTGAAAAACGAGAACGACGTCGTTGAAGGCTGAACCACTCAACGCGAAGTCCACGGACACCACAGCCGCACGTGGGGTCGGCGGGGAAACAGAGGCAGAAGAACGGCAGGAAACTACAGAGCACTCACTCCACGAACCACACCGCTGCTCTGGGGGGGTGCCGGCGTGACGGTCATCGTATCCGAAACCAGTGACTGGTCGGGACTGGCCCAAGAGCCGGTACACTGCAACCTCGCAGGTAACGGCCACGAATGTCGCCGAGATCACAGCTGCCGCGACCAGCTCAAGGAGCGCTGGAACGCAGCCAGGGCTGAATCTGACCACATAGTGGAGGGGGGTGCAGCCAACAGCCACAATGTACACATGTCTTGGTAGCAGCTCGCACAGAGCAAAGGATGTAGGGGGTGGTGTGGGCTGCACACAGACCGCTGCCCTGCTGAGTGGTTGATAGCAGCTGCACGCCGAGAGCGTCGATGTGTGTGTGTGTGTGTGTGTGCGTGCGTGCGTGCGTGCGTGCGTGCGTGCGTGTGTGTGTGTGTGTGTGTGCGTGTGTGCGCGTGCGTGTGTGTGTGTGTGTGTGTGTGTGGGGGGGGGGGGGCGCTGACCGCCGCAGAAGACACATGGTCTTGCTGTCGGCACTGCCTTCGGCGCGCAGCGGGTACAGCCGTCGGAGCCGCCGTCGGGGCTGCTGTTGGCGCTATGGTCGGAGCTGCTGTTGGAGCTGTCGTTGGAGCTGCTGTTGGCACTGCCGTCGGCGCTAAAGTGGGTGCAGCCATCGGAGCCACCGTCGGAGCTGCTGTTGGCGCTATCGTTGGAACTGCTGTCGGCACTGCCGTAGGTTCTGCAGTGGGGGCCGCCGTCGGGGCTACTGTTAGCGCCACAGTGGAGCCGCTGTCGGCAGTGCCGTGGGGGCCCCTGTGGGAGCCTCTGTCGGAGATGCCGTCGGAGCGGCTCTCGGTGCTGCCGCCAGCCCTCTCCCACCACACGAGCAGCACATGTCCGCCGTGGTGAAGTCGTTGTCGTCATGTCGGCAGTGCTGTGGGGGCCCCTGTGGGAGCCTCTGTCGGAGACGCCGTCGGAGCGGCACTCAGTGCTGCCGCCAGCCCTCCCCCACCACACGAGCAGCACATGTCCGCCGCGGTGAAATCGTCGTCGTCATAGTAGGCTCCGGAATGGCTGCGCATGAACGGGTACGAATCGAACATCCCACACTGCGCCTCATTTACATTCGACGCTCCTCCGCGCGCGTCGAAACAGGGCGGCGCCGGTGACGGTGCTGCAGAGGGAGCTGGTGTCGGAGCTGATAGAAAGATGGGGGGGCAGGACAACGCCGACGCAGCCCGAGCTGGGGCGTGCCAGCGTCGGACGCGCCACATGGGGGGTAGATGCACAGCAGTCTTACGCAACATAGCGATCCGTGGAAAGGGGGGATCCACCGAGCAGCCTGCTCTCCCGGCCACCCGCTCTGGCTACTGCACCCGCCGCGGGCGAGCCCCGGGGGCGCAGAGGGCCACCAGGCCGCGCATTCGGCGCCGCCCCACACCGTGGCCGGCCTGCGGCCCTCAGAGTGCGCCTTCCGTGGAGAGGGGGGGGCCAGCTGACCGCCGCAAGATACACGTAGGTTCTGCAGTAGGGGCCGCCGTCGGGGCTTCCGTTGGCGCCACAGTTGGAGCCGCTGTCGGCAGTACTGCGAGGGCCCCTGCGGGAGCCTCTGTCGGAGACGCCGTCGGAGCGGCACTCGGAGCTGCCGTCGGCCCCCCCCCCCCGCCACACGAGCAGCACATGTCCGCCGTGGTGAAGTCGTCGTCTTCATAGTGGGCTCCGGAGTAGCTGCACTTGAACGGGTACGAATCGAACATTCCTCACTGTGCCTCGTTCACATTCGTCGCTCCTCCGTGCGCGTCGAAACAGGTCGGTGCCGGTGTCGGTGCTGCAGAGGGTGCTGGTGTCGGAGCTGATGTCGGCACTGCAGCGGGGGCTGCTGTCGGCGCTGTCGTTGCCTCGATAGCAGCTGCACGCCGAGAGCGTCTCCACGCGTGGGGGGGGGCAGCTAACCGCCGCAGAAGACACATGGAGAGGTGGGGGGGCGGCAGGACAACCCGACGCAGCCCGAGCTGGAGCGTGCCAGCGTCGGGCGCGCCACATGGGGGGTGCATGCGCAACGTAGCTGGAGCTGCAAACTGCCCCTTCCGTTCCCATCCGTTCCGCCGCAAGGGTGCCTGCGAGGGCCCCGTCTATGATACATCGACCTTCCGTTGACACGGGGGGCGCAGCTGACCACCGCAGAACACGATTGATGGAAAGTGTGTCTGCGAGCCCCCTCCGTGGTGGGAAGGTGCCTCCGCCTCTGCTCTCAGCGCTGCAGTTGATGACAGTGGGCGCACTTGCCGCCGAGAGCGGAGGGGCGGCTGAACGACGGTGCGACGGGGGGCGCAGCAAACCGCCGCGTAACACGATATGGTAAAAAACTGCGTCAGCGAGAGCCCCAACTATGATACATCGGCCTCCCGTTGACACGGGGGGTGCAGCTAGCCCCAACTGCGATGGATAGAGCCTCCGCCTCTGCTCACAGCGCTGCGATTGATGACTGAGAGCGCCGTGTAGACGAAACGTGCACGGGGGGGGTCGCACCTGATCACTGCGCGAGCGATGCCATGAGGTGGAGCAGCAACGGCTACTGTGGGGAGACGGCCCGCCACTGTTTTTTGGCCTTCCTGGGTGCCTGGGTGCCCGGGTGGCCCTTTGCCGCGTGGTGATCCCTGCTCGCTCTGCCGCTTCGACCCGGGTGCAGATGCCACAGCCGAGTCCAGTCGACGTCGAGGCCCAGCACGTCGCTGACAACCCGTACGTCGCACTTGTGGCTGCGGAGGGATTCCAGGAAGAGGTGGCAGGTTTGCGGGTCGTGCCGAAGCGGGTCGAGCGCGCCTTTGCTGCCGGGCACGGACTGCCGCTTGGCGAAAGCGTGCCAGGTGCCTGTGAACAGTGTGCCCAGTGTGACTTGGAGCCGCCTTATCACCTCGCCGGGTGTCTCCCCGGGTAAGTCCCACTGGACGTTGTTGATCTCTGTTTTGTACAGCTGCTGTCCCGTGTCGGGGTCCGTGGGCTCTGGCCATTGGCGCGGGTCAGGCCATTGGTGCTGCCGTGTATCCTGGCCGCATGTCTCCAGCGTGCCGGCCTCGCTGTCCTGGCCGGAGGGCTCGCGGTCTGCCCGCGACAGTTCCGGCTGCACGCCTGGCGGGGTTCTGCGGGGAGAGGCGGGCCGCATGGTTGGCCGCCAGGCGGGGGTCGGATCGTCTCCGGGAGCCAGGGCGGACGCTGCCCTGTGGTGCGCGGGGAGAGACCCCTTTCGCTGGCGCGCGCCGTCGGGCCTGCGCCCGCCGTCGCTCCCTGGCGCGCCCCCCTCGGTCAACGCAGGACTCTCGCCGGTCTCGGAGGCGCCGCTGGTTGCGCCAGGCGCGCGCACGTCCGGCGACGCAGTTTCCGCTGCCAGAACACGAGATGATTTGTCCGTCGCGTTCTGGACGTCAGGAGAGAGCGCCTGGGGTTCGCCGCCCATTCGAGCGGGTTCACTGGCAGGGGAAGGGGGGCGAATAGGCGCGAAGGGGTTTCTCCCGACGAGCCAGCGTATGGCTTCGCTGTCCTGCGCCTGGACGGTTGGTCCGCGCTCCCCCTGTTGGGTCTGCGGCGCCCCCAGAGGACTGCTGACGGTCTGATTGTTTTGAGGGGGAGGTGGGGGTGGCGCGGCGTGGCAGGCGAGCCCCTGCTGTTCCGGGATCTCGCTTAGATGACTGGTGCGGCTGCCGTCAGCCCTTTCGGGGGCCACCCCCTGCCCACCCGGTTCTAATCCACAGACACGGATGAAGGCTTGTGCCACTTCCGCACCTTCAGAAGCTTCCGCCGCTTCGGGCCCCCGATACTCCGCGGCCTCCGCAGCCTCCGCCGACTCCGCCGCGGCCTCCCTGTCCTTTTCTCTGCCCTGCTGCAGCTGCTGAGGGAGCAAGGGTACCTCTGAGTCTTCTCGTGGGTTCTGCTGGCTCCCAGAGGGGGGTGTTGTTGCTGTGGCAGCTGCGGGGTGCTGTTGCTGCAGCACCTGTAGCTGTTGCTGTGGCTGCTCTGAGTCTTCTCGTGTGTTCAGCTGCTGCTGAGGCAGTGGTTGTGAGGGGGGTGTTGTTGCTGCTGCAGCTGTGGGGTGCTGTTGCTGCTGCTGTTGCTGCTGTTGCTGCAGCTGCGGGGTTCTGTTGCTGCTGCTGCTGCTGCGGCTGCTGTTGCTGTAGCTGCTGCGGCTGTTGCAGTTGCTGCTGCTGTTGTTGCTGCTGCAGCTGTGGGGTGCTGTTGCTGCTGCTGTTGTTGCTGTTGCTGCAGCTGCGGGGTTCTGTTGCTGCTGCTGCTGCGGCTGCTGTTGCTGTAGCTGCTGCGGCTGTTGCAGTTGCTGCTGCTGCTGCTGTCCTGCTGCTGTGGCTGCTGCTGCAGCTGCGGCTGTTGCTGCTGCTGCGGCAGCGGCAGCGGCTGCAGGTGCTGCTGCTGCTGCTGCTGCTGCTGCTGCTGCTGCTGCTGCTGCCGCTGTTGCTGCTGTGGCTGCTGCTGTTCGGCGGCCGCCGCCGCGCCAGCGGCCTCGCCGCGGGCGGCCGCGGGGGCGGCCGCGGCGGCGCGGGCCACCGAGCCCGCCGCCGCCGCAGCCGGCGCGGGGAGCCGGCAGCGGCGGCAGCAGCGTCCGCCGCGACAGCGGCCGCCACGCCGGCCACGGCGCCGCTGGCCGCCGCCGCCGCCACCGGAGGGGATCCGGCGGCGGCGGCAGCAGCGGTGGCGACGGCAGCGGCGGCAGCAGCGGCGGCGGCCGCGCCGCCGGCGGCCCCAGGGGCGGCCGCGGCGGCGCCGGCCACCGCGCTCTCCGCCGCCGCCGCCGGCGGGGAGCCAGCAGCGGCAGCGGCAGCGGCGGCGGCGGCGGCGGAAACCACCGCCAGCCAGCCGGCCGCCTCCGACGGCGGCGGCGGCAGCGGCGGCGGCGGCAGAGGGCCGCAGAGTCCAGGTGCGGCGTCCCGCCGCGCCGCCGCCAGCCGCTGGCGGCGGCGCAGCGCGGCCCCCGAGAGGGCGGACATGGCCCAGGCCCGAGTGCGGACCTGAGCGAGGGGCGGGCTCGAGCCGAGACGGCTTGAGCCAGAGGGGCTACGGACTGGTGGGAATACCCGAAGCGTCAATAATTTGGAAGGGGGATGTCATCGTCATCAGTAGGTTCATTACAACATCTCACGTTCGGGTGAGCGAGACCATGTGCGTAATACGCAATGAACGCTGATGCACCCGATACATTCGTTTGGACACGTTCAGGAAGCAATGCTGGCTGATTTCCTACCAACTGAAAGCTTGCTTGTGAGCTCCTTACAGCAGCGAGGATGTATGTCATACGACGCAGCCCTGCAATTCTTATTGATCGCAAGACAGTGCAAATCTCCCACGCCTGCATAGAGGCTGCCGCCCGGGGAGGAGGGCGGGTAGGTGGAGAATGAGGGCTGAGGATGAGCATGAAGAGTAGAGGCAGCAGGACAAAGAGCATGAGATGGAGGGCGAGGAAAGATGGAGAGTAGGAGGAATAGTGAGGAGACGGAGGATCGATCAGGAGGGGTGAGGCCAGGAGGAGTAGGATCAGGAGAATCTGCAGGAGGAGGACATGTATGAGGAGGTACAGCAGGGGAGTAGGGAGGAAGGTATCAACAGAGAGAGAGAGGGAGAGAAAGAGAGAAAGAGAGAGAGAGAGATAACAACAAAAGAGAGAGAGAGAGAGATCGAAGGATGGCGAGAGGATGCCCGGGGAAGGGAAATGAGTCAATGAGAGGAGGGAGGGATGGAGGCAAGGCTGGAGCGAGGGAGGGAGGGAGGGGGCAAGGCGCGGCCGAGCCGGACAGCAGAGCATCTTAGCGCTGCGCCCTCGGAGCAAGCCCGACCCCGCGCTCTTGGCTGGGCCGGGGTGCGAGCCCCGCAGCCGGCCCGCGCAGAGAAGAGCGAGGCCGGCCCCGAGGCGTACGCGCGCTTCCGGGCGGCGCTGCTTCCGCACGGAGCCGCGCCGTGGCAGCTCGGCACCCCGCCGCCTCCTTGGGCGGCCCGAGAGCACCGCGAGCAGGCCTTGCAGCAGGCGTGGAGGGGGGCCCCCAAACCGTGGGGCGACAGACCCGGCGGCGACCTCGACATCCACGAAGACCTCACCGCAAGGTCCGCCGCCGCACGGGTCTGGGACCTCGGAGGCCCCCCTCGCCCGAGACACCCTCGAGAGAGCGACCCGAGGCCCAGATCCGTGCGGCGACCCCGCATCCCCACCGAGACTCCACACGCGCCGTTCGGGGGCCCCCGGCTCGCGCGCGCGGGAGCACGGCGGGCTCAGCGCCCAGAGGCCGGCGCTGCGGGAGCCGGCTGCCCGGCCTGCGGCTTCGACCCGCAGCCGCCGCATGGGCCGCACCGCTTCTTCGCCTTCGCCTCGGCCTCCTCCTTCTCGAGGTGGGACAGGGGGTATGGCAGAAAGGGGTGTGGTGCTTATCTCATGTAAAATGGGGAATCTGGCGATGTTTTTTGTCGCAGACAATATCGTCATCTCCACGATTGGCACCACACCCCTTGATGCCACACCCCTTTCCGACCTCCAAGCTCCTGAGCCCTGCGCCGGGCCTGCGCCTCGCGGCCGGCAACGCAACATTCGGTCATCGTGCTCATTGCCACTGTCGAGCGCAGAGTGAGGAACGACGGGGGCCTTTTCTGGCCACGGCGAGCCTCGGCCACGATCAGGGTCTCTTCTCCGACCTATGGCTGTTAGGAGCGGCCCGACATCCAAAGCCCCTCCTCAGCCCACAGCGGACATTGTTTCAGCGTGACTGCACGGCAATGCAGTCCGGATCAGCTCGGCCATGTCTCTGTGCCTTCCGGGAAAAAACAGCTGGCATAAACAATGCTTACGGCGGGGGCTGGGGTCGCGAGCTCTACCCCGCTTCGCCCTTTCCCCAACTCCCCAGCGAGGTGGCACATATGCGCGGCAGTGAACCTGAACAAAACCTGGTGCATGCGAGCTTTTACGGACAATCCTGGTGTGGAGATAGGCACACTCGCAAGTCCTCCTCGTCGTCCTCCCCTCCCTCCCCCTACAGCATCTGCTATCCCTCACCTTCTCCCTCCTTGAGCGTATACCCCTCCACTCCCCTCCACTCCCCCCCTCAGAATCGTCCCCAGGCCTTTTCCAGAGCTTGTTGTGACGAAGGCGCCCGAGGTCCAAAAAGGATGAAGCACGTCATGCGTTTTCAGCGTAGGCCCCAAAGAATGAGGTCTTGCACGCTTGGTGTGTAAGTTATATGGTGCAAGTTGTGTGTGTGTGTGTGTGTGTTACAAGCTGTCTGGTGCAAACAATGTGGCGTAAGGCAATGTGGTGCAATGAGTGCGGTGCAAGCTAAACGTGGTGCAAGCAGTGTGGTGCAAGCACAGTTCCCCAACCAGCGCTCGCACTGAAGGGATCCTAGCGGATATAAATGGAATAGGTGAAAGTACCGTGCTGATTTAGGTGGGCGGCCAGCCTGCAAAATTCCCAATTCAGGGTTCTGGCGAAAATGCCAGGCCGACTTTGGTGGGTTCCCGGGTTCGTGGTTCTGGATTCTGGGCCGACTTCGGTGGAGGGCTTGGATTCCTTGGTTCCCGGTTCCCAGTCACGGGATTCCTGGCACGAGAGAGCGGAATTGACAGCAGGGAGCACATACCAACCGAGTAGAGAACAGAGTTGAGCAGAGAGAAAAAATGAGGGAGAGTGAGGGAGAAGGAAAGAGAGAGAGAGAGAGAAAGCAGAGAAGTTGAGATTCAGAGCAGAGCGAGCTGAGAGGGCTTATGACGAGTAACATCCAAACATGTATTTTTGAGATCAGAAAAGACAAGTACCCAAACAATGAGGGAACAAGAGAAAGATAGAGAAAGAGGGAGAGAGAGAGAGAGAAGTTGCCACCATGGTTGAGATCTGTGGACATACAACAGAACGCAGCGAACCCATATCAGAGAGTACAGCGCGGAGCTATATCTCTATATATGTATATAATGTATAGATGTACCTGCATGTACGTGTATATATGTACATATATGTATATATATATAGATATGAAGAGTATCGATCGATTCCTGTCACCGGTCCCCCCGCACCAGAGCGAAGCGCGCGCTCCTTCCATGACAGCGCCCGCGAAGGCCCTTTCTCCAGAGCGCCCGCCAACGGGACCAAGAGCGGCACGGCACGACACGGCACGGCGGTCGACGGCGGCCGCCCACGACGGCAGCTAATTACAGGTAGACGACGAAACACCGCTGTATAGGTATACGGAGAAAAAGAGAGAGAGAGAGAGAGAGAGAGGAATAGACGAAGAAAGAGAAAGAGAGAGAGAGAGAGAGATGGGGAAAAAGGTAGAGAGAGTAGATACTGCACAGGGGTAGCTCTGGCAGCCTCCACGGCGGGCAGGCGTGGATTAACCCCTTGATGGTGAAAATTATCCCCTGGGGACAATAAAGTTCGGGGTCCAAACGGGATGTACATTTTTTGATGGAAATATCGATGTTAGGCAAAGGATGAATGAAAGAAGATGGTGCTATGCATGAGATGAAGATCAGAGCTGCGATCGGAACTTTGGAGGGGATAATAAAGTTCGGCCTCCCCGCCGGCTGTGGCCATTGAGGCACATCCAATCCCGTGGGTAAAGACATGCAGAAGTTAAGGGTGGGGATGCTTTCTAATCCGGGGGCTGGGATGATCTCTGAGAGGTTGTTGAAAAAAGGCTGGCTAGGTTTTGTTGTTGGTTCTCTGGTGTGAGATACAGTCAGCCCGTATAGTAAAGATGCGCGATGAAGATGCGAGGGCCTTGGAAAGCCATTCGGACGTTTGTCCAATTGGGCTGGCCAACGAAAGCTGCCAGGGGTGGGCCCAAGGGGCAAGGATGCAAAGGCAACTTTGGAAGACTCGCTCATGCACGGCACATTATGTTCGGGCGCCGCTTTTGCGCGGTGCGAGCGTTAAACCGAAAGTTTTTGCGGCGGCAACCGCGTTGCCAGAGTGTCCCGCAGGGGTCGTTCGGCCGGCCGTTCGCACCGGGGAGCCCAGCTCCGCAAATGAAAACGTTTTGGCGCGCAAACGCAAAAACAAATGTCGGGATATGGCGCAAAACGCGCAATGCAAGCAGCACGAGGCGCCCGCGGGGCGCCCACCAAGGCGAAACCCTGGCGCAACCCGCCCCGCGCCCGGCGCGCCCACGAAGCGCCCACGGCCGGCACCCGGGCGAACCCCTGGCGCACCCCGCTCCGCCCACGGGGCGCCCGCGAGGCGCCCACCGGGCGAAAGCTCGGCGGACCGACGCGAGGACCCAGGAACACCAGCGATGATCCCCCCAATGCAAGCACTGATTGGGAAAACCAAAGCTCAACCCTCCTCCTCCTCGTCCTCCTCCTCCTCCTCCTCGTCCTCGTCCTCCTCCTCCTCCTCCTCCTCCTCCTCCTCCTCCTCCTCCTCCTCCTCTGCCTCCTCCTCCTCTTCCTCCTCCTCCTCCCCCATGGGAGGAGGAGGAGGAAGGAGGAGGAGGGAGGAGAGGAGCGGAGCGGGGGGGAGGAAAACACGAGCGCGCCCAGCAGCGGGGAGAATTGGATCGACGGTCCACCAGAAAAGGCTCATCGGCCGCCATCCTGGGGGGGGCGGTGACAGGGGACGGGCCTTCTCAGAAGGCTTGGAAGCCCCCCCCGGACCTCTGAGAAATTGCCCAAGCCTTCCCCGAAGACACAGAAACCTTCTCCTCGGAAGGCCAGAGGGCTTCTCAGAAGCCCCGCCGCCTTCTGAGAGGGCCTTCTCTCCCTCACTTCCGCCCCCTCGCTCGCCGCCGAGTTCCAAGCTCCTTGCTGCTGGGCGAGCGCCGGGCCCATCATCTGGGCCCGACGGTCGCGGAGGGCCCCGCAAGGGGCCAGGCCAAACTCAGGGATCAAAGCCCCGAAACGAGTCCGAGACAGAAGCGCAACAACTGACCCTGATGAAGGGGTTCACCGCCCATAGAGGGAGAGTCAAGGGAGAGAGAGAGAGAGAGAGAGAGAAAACAAACAAAAAAAAAATGGGGTGGGGGCGCCCTTCAGACAAGAACTTATTGCTCCCGTCCGAGGCTGTGACCCACCTCGGACGGGCCCTGCCGACAGGGCCCCACACCCCACAGAAACTTACCCTTCAGCCTCTTGGGTCCGCGGCACCCGCTGGCCTGGGCAGAGGCTCGGTCCAGGAGCACCTGTCGCTACTCTGGAGCTGAAGCCAAAAGCGAGCAGCACGGAATCAATGCCGAGGCGCGGAGCCACGGCTTGCTTCGAAAAAGGGACGACCCTCGGCGCTCTTGGAACCACAGCCGCCCCGACAAGGGCCTCTCCGAAATGCCTGGAGAAACGGCCTCTGGTCACGTCCGTCGGGGCCTCCGAAGGCCCGAGCGCCATCAGAGGGTGCAAAACAGGGTGAAAGCCCTCTTTCAGCCTTTTGCTGACTGTGTACGCTGGCCCCCCTGAGATCTTCTTGGGCCTTGGGCCCCTTGCAAGTCCCAGTGAGACCTCTGTGCATCGGGGTGGTCGCATACTGCCAGCAAGACGGACAATACATTATCGGCGAGTCGTTCGGCACCGAGCTCTGAACCACACAATGGCCGCTCACCCACAATGGCTGGACACCGTTGTCCTGAAGCCACTGGGGGTCCCCTGAGGCGGGCCCTGGAGCAGCACCAGCAGGAGGCTCGGGAGGAGGGAGGACCGAATCACTGGACTCCGCCTCAAGAACATCAGGGACATCTAAACCGTGGTAGTTAAAAAACCCAAGTCGATTCTCTTGAAGTATTCAACCCCGACATCGTCCCGAAGCTCAGCCTTGGCCATCGAGACCGGCAATTGGGCAGAAAACTCGGCCGCAAGCTTCGCAATCAAATGGAATCCTCTACCAGCTCAACATCGGCGATCGCAGACCGAGCCAACGCCGCTCCGATGTTTCGCAAAACTGTCGGCAACATTATTGCCGTCTCGGCCGAACGCGGAAATCTGATCGCGCTCAACACTCACGGCCGACCTGTGGGCATTGACATGCTCGAAGGGCCGAGCACAGAAATCTTCGGACACGTGCACCTGCCTCCACAGGTGGGCTCGCGGGTTGCACGAGGAAGAAGACATGGCAGGAGACTGACAGCAGCTCAGTGTACCCTTACAGTCTGCCCGCACAGACTACATGCCCAGAACCTTCTGGGAGCACATCAATATTGCAAAATCTTCGCCATCTCGGGCCGAGCCCGAGATCCCGAATTTAGGTGGCACGGCTCCGAATAGGCGCCAACATAGCGCCGCTCGCTGTCGTACAACACCACATTCCAACCCGCAACGCTCAGGGTTGGATGATGCTGGTCCAGCCCTGAGCCGTCGGTGAAAGCGTAACCTCCATCGAGGAGGAGGGGCAACTGGAGAGAGCCTTGGACCCACAAGCTCCAGCTCGGACCGAAGGGTGGCCTAGAGACGCACTGACCAGGCCCAGGAAACAAACCTATCGCGAATCTTTCCTTCCAAGCTGGGGGGCTATCCACAATTCTGGCAACGACCTAGAAAGCTCCGTGGGCATGCAATCACGTCTGAACTTCCCGTGGGCGGGGCATGCGTAGCATCGATGGAACATTGTGCCTCGGGCGTCCTGACACAACTGGCAAACACCTGGGAGGGTCGGCTCCTGGTCGTGAAGCCTCCCCTGCGTCCAATGGGACCCGGAGACCAGACCCCGAAGCGAGTTCTGCTCATGGCGGCCCCAGGTGTCCTACCAGTCTGAAAACACGAGCTCCAGGAGCGGCCTCCAGCACATATCGGTGGCCCAAACATCGCCCTCAAGACAAAGGGCCCTGATGTCAGAGGCTCGGCGGGCCGCGAACGAGATCTGAGCCGCGATGCACCGCATCCCGAAAGCGCCAGCCTACACGCTGGGTCGTTACGACTACCGCCGCCACAGGGTCTCTGCAGGACACCCATGGCCTTCCCGCAGCAGCATTCCTGTTGGCAGCAATCACTAGAGCATCCAGGACAGCCTTCGAAAGTTGGCCATCGCAGAGAACTTCACAATATTGGCGAATCGAGTCCGCCGTCGTTCAGATCAGAGGGTCTCGCCTCCAACCTTGACGCCCGCAACCAAGGTAAAACCCCACCGAAGACCTCCGAGGGAATCTGCCCTCCGCGTGAGCCGCCAGAACCCTAAGGCCGTGGAGCCTGGTGTCGCCTAGGCCGTGGACGCACCCTGATGAAGGGGAGGAGGAGGAGATAGGAGGGAGGAGGGAGGAGGAGGAAGAGTGGCGGAGGACGAGGAGAGGATGGAGGGGGAGGCAGAAGGTGAGAGGCGAGGAGGAGGAGGAGGAGGAGGATGAGTAGGGGGCGGTTAGTAAGGAGGGAAGGCAGGTGGCGTACATGTTCCGCTTTTCGAGGATGTGAGTGGGGAGGAGTAATGAGGGAGACAGGAGGAGGGGAGGAGGGAAGCAGGAAGGGAAGGGGGAGGGGAGGAAGGAGGAGTGTAATGAGTAGCAGGGGAGAGGGGGGGAGGATGAGGCAGGAGGAGTGCCGTGAGCAAGGGAGGAGGGAGGCGCAGGAGGAGGAGGAGGAGGAGGAGGAGGAGGAGGAGGAGGAGGAGGAGCGGAGGAGTCCGACGTTGTGAAAAAATACAAGGGCACGTACGTGCAGAGCCCTCGGCCCATCTTAGCGTATTTTCGAGCCCGATCGTGATGGCCCTGGGGCGCGAATCCGGGTGAAAACGCCCGGGCCCAGGTGGGGCAGGAACAGGATCGAGGGCCGAAGTCTCCCCTTGCTCCAGATCCGCCGTGCTAGACTTCGGGCGATTTCGCACACGGGTGGAACATTTGGTTTTACTCTTCGAGCTCCTTTGATGTCGATTGCCGCTTTACTTTGCCTTCGCTGTTTCCATTGTGTTTTTGCTGAAATGTATTCTCGTCTTGTCTGAGACACAAATGTCCACCCTACCTCTTCCCATCGTTCGGGGTGCATTCCCGACACAATCTTGAGCCGGAATGTCAGTTAAAGTACGGGGGACCCAGAGTCAGCAAGAGCAAGATCGAGGGCCGAAATCTCCCGAGCAAATAAGCATGAAGGAAAAAGGTCCTAAGGGAAACGGGTCCTGGACCCGGGGCCCTCCCGCAGGACGGGACCTTCTCGTCCTGAATCGTTCTCTGACGGACCAGGGGCCCGTGGAGGGCCCCGAGAGCCCGACGACAGCGAAAAATCTCAGGACCCGTTTCCCTCAGGACCCCCTCCCCCCACGGCGAGACGGCCTCCTCCTCCTCGGCAGCTCGGCGCTCCCGGTCGAGGCGCTCGCCCTCCTCCCTGGCGAGGGCCCCAGCGGCGTCGCGCTGCCGCAGGGCCTGCGGACGTCGGCGGGAGAGTCGCCCTGGCCGCGATGCGGCTCATCCTGTCTCCTCCTCGCTCCTCCTCGCTCCTCCTCCTCCTCCTCCTCCTCCTCCTCCTCCTCCTCCTCCTCCTCCTCCTCCTCCTCCTCCTCCCTCCTCCTGCTCCTCCTCCTCCTCCTCCTTCTCCGCCTCCTCCTGCTCCTCCTCCTCCTGTCTCCTCCTCGCTCCTCTCGCTCCTCCTCGCTCCTCCTCCTCCTCCTGCTCCTTCTCCTCCTCCACCGCCTCCTCCTCCTCCTTCTCCTCCTCCTGCGCCTGCTCCGCCTCCTCCTCCTCCTCCTCCTCCTCCTCCTCCTGCTCCTGCTCCTGGTCCTGGTCCTGCTCCTCCGCCTCCTCCGCCTCCTCCTCCTCCTCCTCCTCCAAATCCTGCTCCTGCTACCGGGCCTGCTTCTGCTCCTCTTCTTATTTGTATTACTAATCTTCTTATTCGTACTACTACTATTCTTATTATCATTAGTAGCATTCGTATTCGTATTGTTGTTAAGATTAATACGAATAACACTAGTATGAGTTGTTGTCTGTTGTTTCCTTGTCGTTTTCTTATTCTTAGTAACATGTTAATATTATTCGTACTAGCATTATTTCTCATACTAGTCCTACTGTTATTGACGTTAGTATTACCATTGCTGCTGACATTATGAGCATTCGTAGAAGTATTGCTATTCTTATTCCGACACCTCCTCCTCCTCCTCCTGCGCCTCCTCCTCCTCCTCCTCCTTCTCCTCCTCGCTCCTCCTCTTCATCCTCCTCCATCTCCATATGCTCCTCCTCCTCCTCCTCCTCCTTCTCCTCCTCCTCCTCCCTCCTCCGCCTCCTCCTCCTCCGCCTCCTCCTCATCGTCCTTCTCCTGCTACTGGTCCTGCTCCTGCTCCTCTTTATTATTCGTATCAATCTTAGCATTAGTTATATTACTCGTATTATTCGTATTACTACTAATATTCGTGCCTGCGTTGGAAATATTGTTTTTCCCCACATCCAAAGTGGGGTTCTTGTTTTCTCTGGACACCCCGCGCAGGAACAGGAACACACACACACACACACACTCACACTCACTCACACTCTCCTCATCAGCATCATCGATGATGCTCTCTCACATGCTTAGTCACTCACATACTCATCATCATCATCATCACTCGCACTCTCTCACACGCTCACGAACATCATCATCATCATCATCATCATCATCATCATCATCGGCATCATCCTCATTCAAACATCATCATCGCCACCACCACTCACAATCAATCATCATCCTCTTCACCACTCATCTTCACCACCACTCATCATCCTCATCCTCATCATCGTTGAGTAAATTGTGAGGAAGTCTCAGGCGGGAGCCCCCCCCCCCTATGGGGCCCGCAGATCATGTTGGTAATCCGAGCGGGTCATCGGAATCATGTAACTGTCGTCACTTTTGAGCTCCCCAGGCCTGAAAATGGAGGAAGTCTCAGGCGGGAGCCTCGTCTCTGAGTGAATTGAGAGGAAGTGTCAGACGGGAGCTCCCTCCCTATGGGGCCCGCAGATTATGTTGGTAATCCGAGCGGGTCATCGGAATCCTGTAACTGTCGTCACTTTTGGGCTCCTCAAGCCTGAAGTTGGAGGAAGTCTCAGGCGGGAGCCTCGTCTGTGAGTGAATTATGAGGAAAGCTCAGGCGGGAGCCCCCTCCTTATGGGGCCCGCAGATCATGTTGGTAATCCGAGCGGGTCATCGGAACATTGTAACTGTCGTCACTGTTGGGCTCGTCAAGCCTGAATTTGGAGGAAGTCTCAGGCGGGAGCCTCGTCTGTGAGTGAATTGTGAGGAAGTCTCAGGCGGGAGCTCCCTCCCTATGGGGCCCGCAGATCATGTTGGTAATCCGAGCGGGTCATCGGAACCCTGTAACTGTCGTCACTTTTGGGCTCCTCAAGCCTGAATATGGAGGAAGTCTCAGGCGGGAGCCTCGTCTGTGAGTGAACTGCGAGGAAGTCTCAGGCGGGAGCCCCCTCCCTATGGGGCCCGCAGATCATGTTGGTAATCCGAGCGGGTCAGGAATCTGGCTGCAGGTGCACGGCTTCAAGGAGTCTCCGATCTACCAGGAGGTCGCCGAGGTGCTGCGACAGGGCGCCGAAGGCGCCGACGACGACGGCCAGGCCGAGGCGCGGGCGCGGAGCTTGCTGATGTTCAGGCCCAGCGAAAGGGAGTTCACATGGCAGAGCTCGGGGGCGCACAGCGTGCGCCGCTCGGGGTTCACCCTGACGCACGCGTCCTACCTGACCTCCACGCTGTCGCAGGGCCAGACGCTGCGCAAGGGCGTCACCATCGACTGCGCGAGAGACGAGGACGCTGGCCGCACGGGCATGTCGGACGAGCAGTGGTGGCTGCACCTCCTACGTCATGTTCTCCCGCGCCACGCGCATGCGGAACATGCTGATCCTGCGGCCGCCGCCGCGAGAGTTCCTGGAGTGCGGGCCGCCGGCGCCCCTGCGGAAGGCGCTCCTGGAGTTCGACAAGAGAGCGGTTTTGTCCAGGGCGGAGGCGAAGCAGCTCGCGGCAGAGCTGGGCTTCGTGCTGCCTTCCGCCTGAGCGCGGCTGCGCCTCGCTCGAAGCCCGCGGGGTTGTCCCAACGGCTTGGTCTTGCGCGCCAACGGCTCGCGGGGTTGTCCCGACAGCCTGGCCCGCGGGGTTGTCCCAACGGCTGCGCGACGTGACCAGTAGAGAACGCGCCTGTGCTGGCCGTGGCGGCGACGGCGCCGAGGAACATCGACATGCGCGCTCATGCAACAGGAAGGGGAGGAGGTGGCGGGGCGCGGAACAAACAGGGGGGCGAGGATGGGGACAACGTAAGGAGTGGAAGGGGGGCCCGCGCCAAGGCGAGAGGAAATATACGCAGAAGAGACAGCAGGACGCCTCACCAACCACGAGGACGACGGTGATGGCTTTTTCCAGATTCGCCCAGAGGATTCTTATGTGGGGTTCTTCCGTCGGAGTAATTTTGTTTTCTGCTGCTGAGTACCATTGATACTTTTAGTCGTCGTACTATTATTCGTAATATTCGTACCACTGCTTCAATTAGAAATAGTACTAACCGTAGTGCTCTAAATTACTACTACTACTACTACTACTACTACTACTACTACTGCTACTACTACTACTACGACGACGACTACTACTACTACTACTACTACTACTACTACTACTACTACTACTACTACTACGACTACGACTACAACTACGACTACGACTAAGACTACGACTACGACTACGACTACTTCTGGGACTACGACTACGACTACGACTACGACTGCGACGACTACTACTACTACTACTACTGCTGCTACTACTACTACTGCTACTACTACTACTACTAC